GTTTCGATCAGTAATACTGATCCTTTTCAAGTAGATGTTCCTCTCTATACTTGTACAAGATTGGACCGTAGTTGATGTGCCGAGCGTTTTTTTGTTCCTATTTTCGCTTATAATTTTTATCATGCGCCACGACATACTTTCTATTTGTTGCTGTAACAACTGATAGATTTAACATAACATCTACTTGAAAAGGATCAGTATTACTGATCGAAACGTCGTAAATCACTAAATATATGAATTTTGCCAGAACTGGTCGACTCAATTATTAATCACAAAGGTCTAAAATATTAATAATTAATATAAATAGGTGTAGAAAAATATAAAAATAGATGAACAGTTATTTCTCATCGATTCCTGTAGGATCTATTAATTATTAATGTATGGCGTCTCGTTGAAATTTAGAAATTTCGATTGCTAGAATTATGTCCAGATTTTCTTGGCAATTCCCGAAAGCGATGGTCTTGGTAGCTAGTAAGCGACGACCAGCTTGTAACTTTCAAAGTCGAGTCACGAAATTAATTTGAGAGAAGATTTTAGTCTTCTCAATAGTCTTCCATTTGTGATAGTGTCAGTTGTATATTAATATTTTAAAAAATTCTCTTATCAAGTTTCTAACAGTTGGTACTGGAAAATTATTAGTGCACAGAAATTAGAATATCATTAAAATATATTCCATCTACAGATTTCTTGATAAAAAAAGAAATTTTAATTTATAATGAAATCAACCTCTTGCGATATAAAAAATAAGGGTAATAAATATCAATTATATTACTGTAAAAATATTCAGGATTGTACAATACTTGCATTATGCAAATTTGTAAAATGGTGATCGTCATTGACTTGATACTCGAAATCACTATCGGGAGTAGTTTGGAAAATCTGAGATTTCCTTCCCTTTTACAGTGAAGTCCTTAATATTCTATGGATCGCTTAACTTTCCTTTAAGAGTTGATCTCATGAGGTCCAATAGAAGTAGGGCACATTTCGCTCTCCATCTTAAGGATCTTTCTTGTGTCGGCTACTAATCGGCGTATTATCCGGCGCATTATCCGACCTTGATCTGACCAAATTGTTGGGCCACCTATTCTCCATGGAACGCGTCAATAACGCGATCCTTTCTTGGTAGACTTCATTTATCAAGGCTTATTCAGCCGATTTTTTACAATAAAATAAACAATATTAAAGTAATAATTATAATGGAATCATATATATTACAATACATTAGATAGTTATGTTTCAGAAGTTAATGTAGCAAATAATGCTCATTTATAACATTTACTAATGCAAATGTACAATTTTTTTATGATTATTAGCTTATACTAATACTTTTTCTATCTTTTTGCGCGGCAGTTTCGTAACATTAATGTTTCATATTATATTATAATTTCTAATTATTTATATCTTATACTTTCTAATATTAGTATTTTATAATTTGACATTTTTGTCCTTTATCATGATATTAAATATGAATTATGCTCGGAATTATGATATTATATAATAAATAATTTAAAACATATAAAATGGGGAGAAAGGAGGACCGCCAATTGTGATCTACAGGGATAAAGGCAAGCCTCTATGTAGGTTCTGTTCGAATTAAATTTTACTTGAAAGTCTGAATTGAAAATACATACATAGTTTATACAAAGAAATTCCAAATTTCGATCAAAGTACCTATATTTTAATTATACTTTGAATAATATTGAACAACGTTAAAAGACAGGATAGCTTAAATAGCCTTCTATAACAAATTTAATATAACCATTAAAATATTGAAAGCTTTTCTGTAATTCTATTGCGGAAAATTAAGAGAGTTAATAACGATGAAAATTGATTGATTCTTTAGATAGAATTTTCTTGATTAATATCCATCAACCGCCTTACATAAAATCCAAAACGCCTCTGTGTAGAATAAAAAAAATTGCATCTTAAAAGTAAAAAATACTATTGTATCCGCTCAAGTTGCTCAAATCGCGTCGCATTGTAATCTCGCATTATACGATGCCCAATCTTCTTTTAAAGACACTCACATACATTTTCATAAGAATGATCGTCCAATAATGTTCCATAGTGCAATTTTCCACGTAGCTGCAGAGGCAGTAGTAGCGATGCATCGGGAAAAAGGAAGAGAGAAACGAGAGAAACGGGTCGGTAGATGAGTGAAAAGGAGAGGAGCGGAGAAAAATATAAGAGGACGTCAGTAACGACTAACGCAAGCTTCGCGAAGAAGGGAAGGACGGCATCTTTTAGTAATTACCCGCCTCCGGAGGGCGCATTACTCTTTGTCGGCCGACGTACCTCGGATCTTATCGTCGTTGAGAGAGAAAGGATGAGGAGTAGTGAAGTAAAAGATGGAACAGCAGTACTGGGAACCACTTTTGTGGAATAAGACGAGGAATAGAGAGTCGGTTGCAATCCTTACTCCTCTGGGCGAAATTGCGTTGGGCGACATTTTCATCTTCGCCTTTGTCCGTTCCATGGATGCACATTTCGTTTCATAAAGGCATAATAATTATTTTGATATTGCTAAACACGCACACACTGTACCGCTAACAGATAAGAGTGTCTTTCCTACAGAAATATTGAAATGTGTATTAAATAAATTACTTCACTGCTCATCAATGAAGAAAGTCGGTGAAAGAACGTCTCTAAAGATCGCTCTCGTAAAATTGTTATCACCAACCTTTTATTTTCGTTTCACGGCGTGCGATCAAATTTATAATATAACAGCTGCTTTTGAACAAAACAGCCTCGGCATTACTCGGAAAAAGAGCAACAAGTAGCGTGCTCGGAATTGATTCTTAAGAGGATATCCTTTAAGCAGCAAAGTCCGAACTCCGACAGGAAAACGCTCTTATCTAAACGGAATATAAAATGTCGATAATTGTACGAAAGGTTTTTTTCTTTCGGATCTCATTTATTCTGAATAATATTCCGCTTGATATGCTTTCAAGCATATTGCACGATTGACTACAAACGTGGATTTTTGCGTCGTGCATTGTAAAAATTTTTCATGACAATAATCGCAGAATAATTGTGACACAAAGTTGATCGAACTGTTTTTGATATAAAATCGATCGTTTCTCTCTTTATTTTTGTGCGTACTTTAATCGTGCAAAAGAATTTTAAAATTCTGTAAAACCAATTGGACGATGTCTTTAAAGAAAACAATCGATAATTACGGTCACTTTAGGATCCCCTTAAAGTCTAAGTACACTCTGAATGTCCGTACAGAATCTGTGCGGGACTATAAGACGATAGCGCCATTATCCGATTGCTTCTATATCGCTACGCTGAAAAATTCAAAATTACCAGCCTTATTCAGTAGCTATTCAGGTTTTCAGCGCTCTTCGCGTAACATCCGATAATGAGATCGCGACAGAATGATTGATCGTATTATATATGCGACGTCATTGATTTTCTATAGTAAGCGCGACAACAAGTCTTGTTAATCTTGCAAGGCTGAATCGAAGGCTTTCTACGTAGATGACAATGCTAAATAAAAATGAGAGATTAATAACTTTCGCGTCGATAGAATTAATTTATTCAAAAGTCGATGCACACATTTGTTATTATTGTTTCACTTCAA